TTGTTGTTGTTGATATGCTTGTTGCAAGGACTGTTGATTGTATATCTGTTGAGACTGGGATAAAACTTCTTGCTGTGAAATCTCAGATTGTGTGGGTAGCTTCGAGTTATAGACTTGAGGGTTGTACTGCAGGTTGGGCTGCTGTAGGTGTTCGCTGTAAGCCAGCTGTGACGGAACTGGGGCTGAGACTTCATATGTCGTAGGCGTTCCAGTCTGGAAAAAAGCAATTAAATCACTAGTTTCCCCCTAAAAAAATATCAAGTATCCTTTAATTTTGATTGTTATTTTTTACTACATACTCGAGGCTGATACACGGAGACTGGGCTGTAGAGCTGATTAGCGATAGCGGCCTGGTAGGAGGGCGCCTGTCCCGCCAGCAAGTCGGAGAACTTGGCGAGTTGCGGTGATGGCGTCACGTACACACGCTGCGCAGATACATAAACTCCTCAGTATATTGAAAACCTAGGTATTATCACTTCTTAGTGACCAAAACTAGTCCAATAAGACTGTTGTAAACAGATGTATAATTTATTGTCTTAAGTATAAAATATTTGCATACGGCAATACCAAACACCCCTCGTAAACTGTCATTTGTAGTCTGTGCTTGTCGTTGACAGATGACTTTCAATTTAACGCGCGCAAAAACGCCATAAAATTTTTGAGTTTTGCATTCCCTCCAATTATGCAAATCTTGAGAAGTCGAAAACAATTGTAAGGTTTGTTAATAATTCCATGAAATACATCTTTCTAAAATGGCTTATTATTTTCTGTATCATATGGACTATGTGCAACACATAATAATTTATTTCGTTTTAACAATACAACTGCTTCATAATCGGACCAAAACTTTAAAAATGTACCGTTTTATTCATTTTTACTTATAAAGTATCCATTAGGAGACTCACATTAGTACTTATAATAAAAACTTTCTTAAAGGACGTAACTCGGACATCGTTAAAAACCAATTAGAATGGATTGTATTGTACAATAACAAAAGAAAGAACTGTAGAAGTGTAAAGCGGACCATGGACGATCTGATTTGCGGATGTCTGCGGCAGTTATGCAACAAGCAGCTCGTTCCGGTTCCGTCTCCGAACGGATTAATATTTAATGTTATTTAACTGAACTTATGCAATAATCGTAACAGTTCAACTGACCGCAATACCAAACACAGGTTTACATTTATAAATGGTGTAATTATTTTTGAACTTTATATTTTAAAACGACATAAAAAACGAGGAATCTTGAACGTTAAAAACAAGTTGAGCTTTCCAAATAATAAATGATTAAAAATAAATTATACTATGTTGTTGACACCTGGCAATACCATAAGCAAAATCTATAGCCGACAATAAAAAAAAACAATAACTGTTAGCATTGTGGGACAGATTTGAAGATTATCCACACATCCAGGCCTAGGATATTCTTGCAAGTTTCTTTTACAAATGTCCCAAAAGTTAGAAAACATTTCAATTGTGGATAAGCCATCAACCTCACGTTCTTGTCTATTAACATTGTCTTGTAGACAGCGTGAGAAGCAGTCACAAGGTCGCACATAGTTCTTACCAACATTGACACAAACAATGCGCTTACACACGACAGACATACTATCATTGTATTGTAATATTTCGTTTTGATCTACAAACCACGTGGGAAATAATTAAATACTTTTTACGTGACTTTCGAAAGAAAATCAATGTAAACAACATGTCTATTCCCGTATCCCTAGGTTGGACTTAGATTGATTCAACAGAGTATTTTTAGTACCAGATGTTTCCGCGTTAGTGAAATTTAAAATGATACACTTTTTTGAAAAGTTTCTTATCTTATGAGTAATATTTCTCTAGGTGAAGCTATAAAGTCCTAGTTTTTGAATAATGCAATGCTTTCAAACATTAGATCTGCGGAAATGCCAAGTGAGATTATGATGGACGACATTTGTTTAGAAACTGTTCATAAAATGATCTTTGGTCAACCTTCACACGATCTCTTTAGATCTTATCTTTATAACGGATGTATTTCAACTTAGACCATTTATTTACAGAAATGCCCAAAGTTTCATCCTTTTTAATGCAGTTTTAAATGTCAACAAATTTCCTGTGACACTAACTAGATAAATACCGAAATGCCAGATTTCCTGGACTTGCTTGACATTTTTAATAAAAGCAAACAACAAACATTTCCACAATTCGTATCCAGCGTGACGTGACGTCAGCCCGGCACGCCGCGCCCGCTGTCCCGCTGCAACTGCTTAAATAATTTAACTGTCACGCGACTGCCCGGGGACTGTGAGTTTGGTAAACATTTTTGAACGAAACTTTCGTATCTCGCAAAGAATTAGTAGATTCAGTCTCTTAAAATGCCCACATTACTGCAATATTAGCTATTTAGTTCTATTACAATGTCAAGCATATAGTTATGCATTCATTAACATAGCTAATGCACAAACATGAGGAGTTAAGACGCGGCACATGTTCGCGGCGGCGTCTTGTTTGTCTCGGATGTAATAAACACGGAGCTG